CACACACACACACACACACACACACACACGCAAGATGCTCAAATGTAGACTTTTTAAAATAAGGAGCACTGAGTCTGATGCATACAGCATCTAAAGTGCTCTCTCTTTGGTGGCTTTTTAGTCCATCCCAACTGTCAGAGAGGTTTTCAGGAAATAGTCCAGGGATGCAGCATAGCATTGGCCCCACCGGGCCCCTCACAGAGACAGCGTCTGCTGGCCAGTCCCACAGGACACAGTCACTCAGAGGAAGCTGGACAACTTTAGAAGGAGAAAGAGAGAGGGACTGAATTTACAGAGTTGCTTTTCTATCTCATAAATGCCTTTCAAACACTTAAGCCTTAATTGCTTTCCACAGTCAAATCTTTCTCAAAATCTCTATCTTGTAACTTTGGAGCCAAAAAAGCCAGGGGAAACAGTATTTTGCTGCTTTCTTTGATAACTCCAATTCGTTTCCATTTCCGTGCACAAATCCAAGGACGGGTCTATCTTTTGACTCCGGCCTCATGAACGAGGAGGCTGGGGTGGATTAGAAAGCCTGGGGACACACGGGGAGTGATTATGGCACTGGCAGAAATTAATGATGGAGAAATTCTAAAAGAGTTTCTTCAGTTTTACAAAAGCAAACTCCTGCTTTGTGTCACAGGCTCATAAAATCATAGGATGCTTTGAAAGGGACCAGAGAGGCCATTGAGCACATGTGTCTTTTCCCTAACAATGCTACCAGTACCCCACTTGCCAGCAGCGGGCACCTCAGTGACCTGGAAGCAGTGGGCCCAATCCTGTGGGGGCGGAGGTGCAGCCTGTGGGGGCCCAGGCGCAGACCCTGGGTCGGGGAGGCTGTGCCTTGGGCCAGACAGGCTCATTTTATTTATTTATTTGTTTGTTTGTTTATTTATTTATTTATTTATTTTATTTTTTAAATATTTTTTTTAAATTGGGGAATTGGGGGGATGGGAACAGCGCTGGGGAATTCGGGAAGGGGAGCAGACAAGTTGCTGTCGTTTTGGTCTTCAGTCTAGTTGTGGAGGACATTGCTTCACTGGCCCAAGTTGGCACCATCATTGTGTTCTTCCCGGGCGAGGCAGATCGGTCGCCGGCTTCTGGATGGCCGCTCACTGCGGCTGCTGGCTGCTCACGCTGGCTGCTGGCTACACACGGTAGCCCATGGCAACCCACTGCCACAGGAGCTGCAGCCTACGCCATCACTGGCGACTCACAGCAGCCCAGCTCCAGGTTGAGCTGTTGTTCAGCGTCTTAGCTGTGGAGGGCAGTGTCAATGGCCCTCATATGTGGGATCCGAACAGGGGCCCTCTGGCATCCCAAGCCAGTTCTTAACCATCGCGCCACTCGGCCGGCCCCAGACAGGCTCATTTTAGACATACCCCCACCCTAAGGAATAAGAAAAAGTAATTCTCCAGCTGAGCACAGCAAAACATCCTATTAAAGTTGCCACGATGCAGTTATAACTGACAGTAGAAGCGTTTCTTTGCAAGAATTAGGTTATAACAATAGATTATTTTACAGATAACCCATTTTCACACCTAGCTCAGGACGTTTTGCAAGAACTAACTGCTTTTTTACTTCTGTACACTTGCTTCTGCTCAAACTCCCAGAAATCAAGCCCCTATAAAACCTCCACCCACCAAGACCTCGGGGCCGTTCTCCTCTTGCAGAGTAAGACGGATGCCAGGCTTGGCTCAGTAAAGCCTTTGGAACGAAAACTCTGTCTCTTAGGTCATTTTTTAAAAGTAAGGACCTAACAAGCCTCAGCCTCCAGGCTCTGCCATTGGTTTTGTCCCAGTTCTCTCCTCTTGCAGAGCGTCAAGTGCTCTTGGGTACAATGTGAGACACAGCCCTTTGTCACTGTGACTTCCAGGCAAAGTGTTCAGGGCACAAAGGTTAGAAAAGCTCATCCCTCAGAAGGCAGCTGCACAGGGAGGGTGTTAGGGCAGTGTCACCACTCTGTGATTCCTCAAATGGTGGCCACGCGCCTCAGACATTCGTCCAAACCCATGGAGTGTATGTCAAGAGTGAGCTCTGGTGGGAACTGTGGACATGGGTGATGACATGTCGTCAGTGCAGGTCCACGGATGGTGGCAAATGTACCCTCTGGTGGGGGTGCTCACAATGGGATGTGGTGCACGTGTCAGGGCAGGGGGTACATGGGACATCTCTGGACCTTCCTCTCCATTTTGCTGGGAACTAAAACTGGCTGTAAAAAATGTCTTTGAAAAAATAAAAATGTAAGTTAAACCAAAAGAACAACTCAGAAGCACAGGCCTCATAGGGCTTGTGAAACATCCGTGGGCTGCTGGTGGCCCTCGGGGCTCGCCCCGGGTCGGCCTGCTCTGGCCCCGGGGCCCCTGGAGGCTGGTGGGTGGATCTGGACCTGCTCATCCAGGGCCGGAAGCGGACCTCGCTCACCGGTGTCTTAGCGCCCGCACAGCGCATGCGCGGCACGCAGGGACCGGCGGCATGAGTTTAATGAGCACACGAAGGCATTACTTTTTTAGTGTTAGACATAAATGAACGGTAGGCATAAAGGTGCTGAATAAAGTGTTGTGGAACCAATGTAAGCAACGAAGGCACCAGAATACAAAATGAACAAACTGAGAGGACAGTACTCTCTGCAGGCGAGCAACTGAGTGAGCAACCACTGACCAGGGGAAGGGCGCACTGACCACCTGCATTTCACCAGCCGCTGCCACTTCACCTCCATGCTGATGCCCTGGCTCCAGTTCATGGGGGACACGGGCGGGTTTCTAGGTGAGTCCCCATACGTGTAGTTTTACCCCCACATGGAACCTTTATATCATCAGAGAAAACATGAATACGTTTAATACCTGGCAATGAAGAGAAATGATTTGCTGCTCACTATGGAGAGATTACTTCCATCCACAGAACAGGCTACCAATGGACGGCATCTGCGTCCTCATCTTTGCAGCTCCCACCCTCAGCCGCGCAAGCACCCGAATTCAGGAGCCAGTGGGTGGCAGAGACGCACAAGGAAGGCCTAGAGCACTTGCATCTGTAAGCCTCGGGGACGCAGCTGCAGGATGCGTCTACACTGACAGATTCCAACACACCACCCCTCCCGAATGGCTACGCGCTTGTCACGGGGCGGCTTTCTCCATGGTAAACACGTGCCGCTGGAGTTCACTCTCTTGACAGGTCTGGGAAAACACAGTACTCGGGGAGATCACATCCTTAATGCCATACTTTCTCCCATAAAAAAGGGCACCTAACTAATAGTAAAATTACATTAAAATTTTAAAGAGGCACTTATTTACTCTCAGAGTTCAAACTAAAGACAGCAGTATAAACTGGGTAATCTCAGATCCTTTCCTGAGAAAAGGCAGGTCTTTTGGATCTTGAAAAAATATACTGGAAGCCAAAAAGCTGGCATTTATATCCACCCCTAATGTTAAGGGGTTCAGAGATTGCTGACAACTGCATAATTGCAAATAATCTCATCTGAAAATCCACGTGCAGGAAATACGTGTGGAGAAGGTGGGGGCCAGGGTAGGGGCAGGTATGAAATGCTTTTTAATCACTAGAGTGGAGTGTGTCACTGCCACTGTCACAAGCTCTACTCCTTGAGTTTTACCATTTTCAACAGTTCCAACTACCAACACATGATACAGATTTAAGATGTTGACTGTGAGTTTTAAACCTGTATGATAAGCCTCAAACAGAAACCCACACCCCATGTAAGTGAGCACTGAATCAAAGGCCATCAGATCAGAAAAAAAAGAATGTCTTACCATGTTTATTGATGACACAGGCCCAATGCTGTTAACATAGGTGTCAACATCAATTATGGTCGGTTTGACTGTGGAGAAAAATGCATGTGTGTTAATGCTTTGTGCCACCAAGACCAGGGACAGCATCCTCTGCTGTTAGCTTCCTGTGACTGACATGCCCACCTCCAGGGCATGTGGAAAGGGGCGCACTGCCCTTGGGACCTGTTCTGCATCACACTTCCAACCCTGCCTGGCTCTCCTCCTGAAGTTCTCCAAGGGTGGGAGATTCTTACTCATGGTTAAGAAGCTCTAGGAAAATAGGACATTTATATACTGCAAGTTGCCGTGATGTGACTATAAAGCTGTTCTTTGACATTTGTTAGGCCAATTATGTGGTAAAGGACATATAAAAAGATAACATGTAAGGAAGTGAATAAGTAATTTAATGTCAACATTTTGCATAAAGCCAAACCCACATGATGAGTTATATCAGGGATGGTTCATATTTATCATATTTCATATTTATCCATCATCTGACTGCCTGTTGTTCCAGAGTGAAGGGACTCAAAGCAAAAATCTGGAGAGTACACAGCCCAGAGGTGAATAAGAAATATTAATTATTATCATCACTGTAACTGAAAGACACATACACACATATCACAGCCTTATGACCCTATACCTCAGAAAAAAATAACACTTTAGTAAGTCAAGGAGTTTCAACTTACAGTTTCAATGATGAGGGCATAAAATTTATATAATGAGAAACTGTAGTATCTTACATTGTGCATCAGAGGTCAGATGGGCTCATTTTGTCTTAAGGAAGCCAGTTTCTCTTTCTTTGGCAGCAGTGGAATTTGGGAGACAAGGAATGAGTTTGCTGAGACACAGGCCTCTGAGCCGTGGTCCATGCCCTCTGAAGGGGAAACGGTGCCCTTCATCAGCACTCAGCAACTGATAAAGGGGAGGACAGCTCTGATTTCAAAATATTTCTGCCCAGGAGAAACACGAACGAGGCTGCTGAACCTCTGACCATGAACTGGATTGTTGCTATGGAAACAGCAGTGATTATATCTGCAATTATTTCAACGAGCTCCCTTCGGTTTCACTACATAACTGTCATTCACAAATGGACTTCTGCACGTTACTTTTGGAACTATGAGTGGCACTTCCAAGCTCACCGTCTCTTGTTAAATTGCAGAGCCAGCAGTTGTAGCCAGAGCCATGTTTTTCTAGACTTCCACGAGCATGAAAACAATGGTCATGGATTTGAGCTGACTACTCAAAGTCTGTCAGTACAACCAAGTCATGTTAGCCTCAAAGAGCTGTTGGCATTTTAGAAAACACCCAGCACAATTCTATGCACTGTGTATAGAGCTTAAATCCCATAAAAGAACTGTTCTTCATTTTCGACTGAGCTGAGCTAACTACTGTGTAGAATAAGTAGCATCTTCCTTCAGTTGAACTGATTCAGCAAGTGTTCTGTCTCCAAACACAGCATAACCTTTGGTGACATCATACAAAAGGCTGAGTTAAGTCAGGCAACTGAGGCTCTACTTTTTGCAAGAGACTTTCCTGGCTGTTTCATGGTATTTGTTAGACTTTAGGTTTCTAGAGCGTTGACTCTCATTAAATAAAAAGGACCTGTAGATATAAAGCCTTAACAACTGGAACTGGGAAGTGTCAAATGAGTATTACATGCAATAGTGCAATAACGGTGTTAAGAGATAAGAGTTTGGAATAAACACACACACGCATGTGCACAAAATACTTGGGCAAAATTAACTGTTTTGAGCACTTTAAAGCAGCATCAGGCAAAAGTAGAAGCAGCAGCTAGGAAAGAGGCTGACAGTGGTTCCCAGGAAAGAGACTGGCCCGGGCACCTCAAGGTTCACAATTCAGACTCAGGATTAAACTGTGACAGATTATCTTCGACAAGGGCTCCAAGACAACTCAATGGGGAAAGGACAGTCTTGTCAACAAATAGTGCTGACACAACTGGATATCCACATGCAAAAGAATCAATTTGGACCTTTACCTAACACAATATACAAAAAATTAATTCAAAATGGATCAAAGACCTAAAGCAAAGACCTGAAACTTCAAAACTCTTAAAAGAAAACATAAGGGGAAATCTTTACAACATTGGATTTGACAATGATTTCTTGGATATGACACCAAAAGCATTGGCAACAAAAGGAAATAATAAATAAATTGGAGTACATCAAAATTAAACACTTCTGTGTATCAAAGGGCACATCAACAGAGTGGAAAGGCAACCCACAGAATGGGAGAAATAGCTGCAAATAATATAAGGGGTTAATATCCAAATATAAAAAGAGCTCCTACAACTCAACAACAAGCAAACAACCTAATTTAAAAATGGGCAAAGGACATAGATATTTCTCCAAAGAATGTATACAAATGACCACTAAGCACATGAAAAGATGCTCAACATCACTAATCATTAGGAAAATGCAAACCAAAACCACAGCAAGATACCACTCCACACCCATTATGATAGCTGCTATTAAAAACAAACAAACACAAAGAAACAAAAAAACACACCAGGAAAAAACAACTGTTAACAAGGCCATGGAGAAACTGAAACCCTTGTGCACTGTGGGTGGGAACGTAAAATGATGCAGTCACTCTGGAAAACAGCATGCAGATTCTAGAATAAAATACATTCTTGGAGAAATAATGGGTGAAATTTTCAAAATTTAATATAAACTTACAAATCCAAGAAGCTCAAGGACACTCAAGCATGAGAAACATACCACAAGGCAAATCATAATCTAATTGCTCAGCTCTCACAATAAAGAGAAAATATTAAAAGAATACATAAAGGGAAAAACATAAAAAACACAAAGGAACAAATATGACAGTATATTTCTCATCAGATACAATGCAAATGAGAAGACAGTGGAGCAATGCCTTTTTAAAAAAATTTTATTACCTTAATTGGGATAACATTGGTTAATAAAATTATGTAAGTTTCAAGTATACTATTCTATAATACATCATCTATATATTGCATTGTGTGCTCACCACCCAAAGTCAAGTCTCCTGTCACCATATATTTGACCCCCTTTACCTTCTTGTACACCCCCACTCCTCTTCTTCTCTGGTAACCATACTGTTGTCTGTGTCTATGAATTTTTGTTAGTTTGTTTGTCTTGTTTGTTCATTTGTTGTTTTCAGTTTTATATCCTACATATGAGTGCAATCATATGGTTCTTCACTTTTTCCACCTGACTTATTTAGCTTAGCTTGATACTCTCAAGATCCATCCATGTTGCCGTCAATGGCAGTATTTCATCATTTCTATGGCTGAGTAGTATTCTATTGTATATACATACAATACAGAAAAGAAAGCAATGTCTTTTAAGTACTGATAAAAAATGAAAGCAAGAGACAGAACTTCCAGAGTGGCAAAATGAGGTCCTCAGTAGATTCTCCCCCAGATAGTCTGGAGATTTACTGGAGAAAATCATTAGGATCCAATGTATAACATGATGACAATAGTTGCTAACACTGCATTATATAGTTCATATTTGCTAAGAGAATAGAATTTAAAAGTTCTCATCAAAATATGTATGTAATGGGCCGGCCGAGTGGCGCGATGGTTAAGAACTGGCTTGGGACACCAGAGGGCCCCGGTTCGGATCCCACATATGAGGGCCAGTGACACTGCCCTCCACAGCTAAGATGCTGAACGACAGCTCAACCTAGAGCTGGGCTGCCGTGAGTCGCCGGCGACGGCGTAGGCTGCAGCTCCTGTGGCAGTGGGTTGCCATGGGCTACCGTGTGTAGCCATCAGCCAGCGTGAGCGGCCAGCAGCCAGCGTGAGCGGCCGTCCAGAAGCCGGCGACTGATCAGCCTCGCCCGGGAAGAACACAATGATGGTGCCAACTTGGGCCAGTGAAGCAACGTCCTCCACAACTAGACTGAAGAGCAAAAGGACAGCAACTGCCTGTTCCCCTTCCCCCAATTCCCTAGCACTGTTCCCATTCCCCCAATTCCCCAATAAAAATCTTTAAAATATATATATGTAATAATGGATGTGCTAATTAGCTAGATGGCCAGAATCATCACAATGTACTTCAAATATCTCAGGATTTTACTGGTCAATTATACATCAATAAAGCTGAGTGAGGGGTGGGGGGAAAACCATTGAAAGTGCCTGGAAATTGTCCTAAGGACAAACAACAAATAGAGAAACATTAATTCAAGAAGATCTACTAAATGTCAGTGAGAACAGTAACAATCTGTGGCATTTTAGCCACAAAATGATGCATCTGCCCCACCCCAGATCCATTTTACAAAAACTCTATACTGGGTGGGTTTGGCCAAGACAGTCACGGCTCCCAGTCCTACCAGCTCAGAATCTTGGGTTACAGTTTCACCTGGAAAGGGCAGGTCACCAGGGTTTTTCACTGCCCCCAGCTTTCTTTCTCAGAAGTTCTATTTCAGGTAGGCTAGGTCTTGAGAACTGATGTTTCTAAAGCTTTCCTTATAGAGCAGAAGCTCATTCCAGGTGCCCATGCCTTGCCCACATGGCGGGTGGAGGTCCCCCTCTATACAGATCAAGAAGACCAGGGGTTACCTACCACGCCCCCTCCCACACACACACACAGGGCCTGTACAGTGGAGATGTCACTCTGGGCGGAGTGGGCTGCTGTTCCAGGCCCCAGAACTCTTCAGTGACACAGAGATTCTTCCCAGGAGAAGAGGAAGGCCATAAGTACATAAGTACAAGTGCCTCCTGCAGCCCTGCATAAGAAGGAAGATATTGTCTGGCAGAGTGTGAAGAACTCCATGCCTAAGGGTGTTGTTAAAAACAATGAAGATCTTGGGAGAACAATTAACAGGGCGCTCTTAGCTTTATGATACTGGTAACAAAAAGCAAAACAGTAGAACAACCAGAAGGTTAACTGAGGGAGCCAGAAAAAGAGATGTCTATAAAGAGCCCTCCTGGACCCACAGTCAAGCCCGGGCATCAGAAACGCTGTGCACATGTGCTGAGCTGTACCCACTCAGGAGCAATCAGAGCAAGACACGGGGTATGCTGCAGACATCCCCCAAGCCA